GTCTGGGCTAGGGGAGGCCCTGCAACTGGGCTTTCAGTGGATGGGGTATGGGTATCTGGGCAAGGGGGGCCTCGTGCCTGGGCTCTGGGGGGGGGGGGGGGTTGGGGGTGTCGGGCCCCCTGGTTGGGCTCTGGGGGGAGAGGGAGCAGAGAAACAGGAACTGGGTTGTCATAGGGGTTTCTTCAACTCTACTCCTGGGGGAATTTTTGTGTGTGTATATTGTTACAGACATACCTGCTGACAGGTATTTTGAAATAAAATTACCAAAATAATTGAAACTGACGTGATTATGTAGTGTTATTTTGACAAATAAAATTTTGCAGAATTTTAAAATATTGTGCTTATAATTTTTATTTTTTTGGTGCAGCATTCCCCTGGGAGTAATATAAATGCAGCACAGATTACCACAAAAAAGGTATGCTAAGTGGCCAGATGTCCAAACAAAAAGATGAAGGAAAAATACATTTTGGTTAATACATTAAAACCGGGAAAGGGGAACTGGAAGGTTACTCAGTGGTAAAAGCAGATTAAGGGTATACTGCACCCTAGAACGCAGCAGTAAGAAGTTATCTGAGAAAGTACAAGTGGACTGAGAAATGATGCATTTTTTTTAAATACAGTAGTAAATTAAAGTAAGTACATATTCTGTCATAAAGCTCCTCTATCATACAGCTGCTTCAAATATCTCCTAACTCTACTGAAGCTTATTATAAATAAATGTTTCCTTTTATAACACACTAAGGTACTGCGATGTACAAAATCCTTGGCTGTTTTACAGACAATTATTTTAATAAACTGTATGTACTTAGACTGAACAAGTAAATGGATGATTCATGTATTGTATACATTTGTGCTAAGGAATTTTTATGCAGACAGATTCTCAACTGGTAAAAGGCAAAATTTTATCTACTCCATTTCCTCTTGTCTTCTGCATTCCCTTTTTCAGGTCAGTCATCATAGCCTATGATATTCAGGCTAAGTTAATTTATATATTAGAAGTAAATACAGAGACAACATATCAGAAAAAACTGTTTCTTGACAATATTAACACTTTCAAATACAAGCTAAAATTGTCTAAGCATTACAGTTCTAAACCTAAATAACATCAAAGATTTGATAGTTTTGCACTCAGATTGTGTTACTATTTACCCCATCTTTATTTTGAAGAAAGATAAACAACCTGTCCTCTTCAGCAAGCAAAATACTGGTTAGAAACAAATCTATGTAAAATGAATTCCATATTAAAGGCAACTAAAGTTCTAACAATATAGAAATTATTTTTAGAAGATTAGTTGCCATAACAACATGATCTCTGTCAGGTTGTTCTTTGCTCACTCTACTGAGAAGAAAAATACAATTCAAGTGCAATAAAATCAGCAGGGCTCTCATCCCCACTACATCTGAATAGTGGTTATAATTGAGTAGGTCACATCCACAAAGCCAGTAAAAAAATAAAATACTTTAAATGCTAAACATTTAAAATTAGTATATGGAGAAAATATACTTGCATCTAAAAAAGACGAAGTCAAAATACAAGATAAATGCTTAGGAGAAAAGTGTTAGTGGTCCAAATGAATACAATTTAAATGTGAACCCGTGGAACACTTTGCCAGAGGATGTTGTGAAGGCCAAGACTATAACAGGGTTAAAAAAAGAACTAGATAAATTCATGGAGGATAGGTCCATCAATGGCTATTAGCCAGGATGGGCAGGGATGGTGTCCCTAGCTACTGTTTGCCAGAAGCTGGGAATGGGGGACAGGGAATGGATCACTTGACGATTACCTGTTCCGTTCATTCCCTCTGCGGCACCTGGCATTGGCCAGTGTCGGAACACAGGATACTGGGCTAGATGGACCTTTGGTCTGACCCAGTATGACCGTTCGTATGTTAATAAACCATTTACTGGAAAAATTTCTGCAGAACATTTTTGAAGAAGTAGTCCTCAGATATTCTAAATCAGCAGTTTTCAGAAACTAAACTACCAAACCTGCCGAACATGTGTAAACTGTTGTCAATGCTCTGAATTTTTAGATCAATAAAATTTAAAACAAAAATTCTTCCATCAGTAAGCTGGAACATCTATTAAAGAAAGAAAGCAATCAGTTGAGCAAACATTTGTAACTCCTGATTGTATGTAGCACTTCCGTGTTCAACTGTTAAGGATATTTTTTAAGGTTTCAAAAATATCCTTATCAGATAAATCCACAATATTTGCTTTAAATCCTATTTTCTACTGTAAGTATTTGAGGCGGGGGGGGGGGGGGGGTCCCGTGAGACTCCTAGCCGTCACAATTTTCTGGATCATCACAATACAGTGAAAGCAGACAAGCACCAAGTTTGGCTTTCTGGCATTTCCGTAGATTCTTTTCCCAATGCATGGGTTGATCATAATTATTACGAATTCAATGAGACTCTCAAAAGCCATGTACAGAAAACAAGATTAAACCAAAAAAAGTTCTATCAACAACAAAAGAAACCTTTTCCAAAACATTCTCAAAGAATTGTACTATAGAACTGTCGGAAGCAAAATACAGCTTATTGTATTAGGTGTTGGCTATACCTATATTAAATGCTTACACCAAGGCATTCTATTAAGTCATCTCAACCCTTCAACATTAATAGTTACTCAGGCCTTGAACTGGGCTAGTATGCAGCAGTATTGCACATCAGCACCTCTCCTAAATCACTTCTTGTTTTCCAGAGTCTCTGCTTTCATCTTTTAAAAGCTGAAGACTCTGGGCACTATAGTTGCAAAGAAAAGCTTGACAATGCAAACTAAAAGTACCCAGTGCAATAATGTGTACTAGAGTTTGAAGAGAGGCTGAAATAATAGCTTCAAGAAGTCTGAACTACCCAGTTTTCCTAAATGGGTGCTAACTCAGATGCCAATGCGGATATTTTAAATGCCAATGTTAGGTGGTACTTTGGTCAAAGTATATAGTGAAGTATATTGTGAAGATCTACTCTATGTATTCTGCATGATAGTTTATTTAAGAGCCAAGTATGGGTGGGTATGGGAGAATACCACCATTTATTTTTACCCTAATCAAGTAGAAGCAAAACCCAAAGCAATCAGAGGATATCTGAGCCCCACCGCAGAGAATCCAAGACTGAAGAGTCTAGCAAAGCCCATGGGTGTATTCAAATTCAGGTCAATGAGGCGAGCCCAGAAAGTCTTCTATTTATAAAATATTTGAGCATTTGTATGATATACTGAGATGGTATCCCATTCTGGCATCTTAAGAAGGTGGAACTTATTCTGGGGACAAACACTTTCACCTAATTTGACCCAGGTCACAAAATAATGCTGTGTACAAGGCATGCTTCCCCTATCCATCTTCTTGTATCAGCACTGGTAAATTCAAAGTAAGAACTTCAACCTGAAGGGGAAGGGAGAAAAAAAGGGGCAAGACCACAACATAGTTCTGACATTAGGAACTCCAGAGTTATTCTTAATGACAATGCATTCACAAAGGTAGAAGACAAGTCAAGGATGCTTCATTTAAGAGAGAAGCACAGGCAGAAACTCTTTCAGAGACTTGTTGACTCATGTCCAAAGACAATGAGACACTGATGCTTGTGATAGTAAATTTAAACGCTAACTTTTGTATGGAAAAATACAACCCTACAGAGGCAACAAAATTCCTAAATACACCACCATAGCCATAACAAAATCTACATGTTCTGAACTGGGAACAGGTTCAGATACTATCACCAATATTCAAATCCCTTAATGAAAGTGCTCTTAAAATTAAATGTGATTTCCTCAATCATTACCCTGTGATGGGAAGAGAAAAAAAAAGAAGTGTTTTAGATCCCAGTGTCTGTGTAAGTGCTAGTGGAGAAAGAGGATAGTTGATTTGGAATTATATGGAAAGCTATTGCAAACTCATGTCAATTATTGATAAGCATGCTTTGTGCTTAGTAATATTTTTAAGAAACCTTCTCGCCCCTCCCCCCCAGGCTTTATGTATACATGGACATGTATCCCTATTTTTCAACCTTCCCTTCCACAGCCTGTGCAAGCTTTTACATCACAGAAAAAATATGCCAAGATTGGAACACAAACTCCAGTGCTTCATTCTGCAAATTCATGGATTATTTTAGATGGCCATAAATCTATTTTTGCTGATTTTGAAGAAGCCAAATGCAAAGATTGTGGCCTCAAAAACTAAAGGTTGAAGAACTCAATACAACTGATGATCCCCTCAAACTCTAACCTCAGAGTTTTTCATAGATTCCAAGGCCAAAAGGGACAAAATAATTCCTAGAGCATCTCTTTTAGAAAAAACATGCAACCTTCATTATAAATTGTCATTGATGTATAATCCACCAGGATCCTTGGTAAACTGCTTTAATTAGGCAGACTTCTGACGACATTTTTCTGTCTCAATAACATTTTAGATGGTTTATACGTACACCTTTACTAAATTTGAAAACGTTTTATAATTACAAGCCTATGTAATTATATGATTCTTGAATTTTCACTGTAAAAAAGGATATGTTTCAGAATTATTTGCTAGCATAACAGTTTTCTGGATGGTTCACCAATCACCCCCCTTTCCCCTCTCACTCCCCCCAAAAATCACTTACACTTCCCCTTTCAGAAACTGATCTAAACCTTGAAAAAACAAATTTTGTCAAGGGTATTATTAACACATGTATATTATTTGAGTGGGAGATTTGTTAAATTAGATCTTTATGTCTATATAGTAAAATGCATTGAATTAGGATTTATATTCTACAGAGTAGATTTCTTTCCACAAATGGGAATGTACTAGGCTGTTAACTAGGCTACATTTCAAGCTTCTGTAAGTAAACCTTAACACAGAGGACATAAACACTAAAGAAGCTTGAGCAAATGCTCAATTATTTTTTAAGAAAATAAAATTTCAGTGGTTTCTCTTGCTAGTGCACACAAATATAATGAAGTAACCAATCTTCTACAATGATGCAACCCAGGAAGTGTGCATTGAACAAAAGTTTCATTTGTCTTACCTTCTGGGGCATCTGCATCACAGACTTTAGGCACGTATGTTGTAACATTCCCTGGCTGGCCATCAACAAGTGTCATATTATGCTGCATGAAGAATATGTAATGTCAGAAGAGAACATTTTATATAGGTGAATACATTATGCAATGTGGTGTTTTCTGAAGCATATAAATCTTGCAAGAAATCATTTTGACACAACAGCTATATTTTATAGATATGTTTTAAATTTCACTTGCAAGAAAAAAGGTTTAAAAAATTCTTGCAGTACATCTTTAATCTTTGCATGCCATTGATTATTTTCAATGCTTTACAGGTTCTGAAGTGTTACAGAATAATTTCATAGTATAAAATTGCTCCAAAAGATTATCTTTTTCATAACTAAGCTTTAGTTGATATTCTAACAAACCCTTTAAAATGATAAACAAGTTTGACTGTACATATAGGGACCTGACAAACAGTTGTATGAGCTAAAGGTGTTGGATCACATGATGGATTGAAAGATCCGGCTAGGCACTGTGGAAGTGTTATTGACTTTATTCTAGCCATGGGTACACCAGAGCAGTATTGCTCTATGATGCCGCTATGTATGCAGCATAAAATTGCATTAGCTCTTTTCGGTGCCATACTGCATCTCAAACGTGGGTCTAATTTGCTGCCCATTACTGCTTCTATGTCTTTCAGCATTACTTCCCAGATTTCTCCCTCCCACTTAATATCTATATTTCAAATTATTTTCCACCAGATTACTTATTTGGCATTTTTTTAAGCTGAACTTTATTTGCTTATTTCATGCCCAGACATCTGATTTCCCCACTTCCCTTGATCGTTCTTGCATGTCTTGATGGTTGTTTTCAACTAAAATGAACATGTGCCTGTCAACTGGGAGTGTCATGGTCACTTTCACAAAAGAGGCATTTGTTTTTTTTTTTAAATAAACCTTTGCAGATTGACCTCCTGAAGGAATTAATCAGTCAGCTGATCCAGTGAAAATGACAGCAGCCTAACTGAATGTACACCTCTACATCACCTCCAGATCAGGCTTCTCATGTTATCTTTGCCCCTGCAACACCACCAGGCCTCAAATAAGGCCTCCACTAAAAATAGAGACAGGCATTTCCTGAGACTGCAAGAAGTAAGGAAGTTACAAGGATAAAGAGGAGAAAGATGGGGCAATGGGCAGAAGAAGAGTGCCCTCCTTCTCTGGTTCCAAAAGCCCACCAGTACATTTCTCCCTAGTATCCACCACAAGCATCCCACCCTCCACTCAGATGATAGGTGTCCAGTTCTTCCTCACTATTCAAGGAAACAACAGCCTATTCACATTATTTCCACCCATTATGTCTGCTTCATAAATGATGGCAGCCTCAATATTCTGTTCATTCACTTCTTCCGCAACTTATTTCCTTTTTTGCACTTTCTTCCCCACTGACTCCTACACATGGAACACCCTACCTGAACTAATCCACAAGAACAATACTCTTTCTGATTTTGTTATTTCCTAATAGTCCACATAACACCTACAAGATGAGAGCTAATTAAGACGTGTTGATTTTATTCCAGATTTTTCTACTTTTATTACACTATGTTGTGCATCAGTCTTTACTGAGAAATTCATTCTCTGAATGAGCATACTGATGTTACTCAAGTCTTTCAACACCTTAAAACCATTATTGCCTCATTAGGCTCCTTACGGAATGGATCATATCTTTTTATCTGTGCTGGGAAGCTTCTAGGTTGCTTTTGTATATTGTATTTTTATCATTTCTTCCAAACTCCTCCTAATTTAGGGTCTCAAATTTATTTCATTATGTAAGACCAAGCCTAATAATAAACCAAGCAATATCCTTGCTAGAAACTATTCCCCTTTATACTGCGATTTTTATTAGATTTTGCTTACTATCCCTTTAGTCAATCGTCAAGCTCTTAAAGGATATTCATACTTTCAAGCCAATATGAATTAAATGTTAGTTCCACAAGACAGAGTTCAAATTCTATTTCAATAGTAAAATGTAAGCATATTAAAGATGCTACTTTTTTTTCCCATCAATTAATTTTGCATTTCTATCTAAAAAAAAAATCCAGTTTGTCTGGCAAATTTTATTCTTCGTTATTTATTGAGTACTCAGAATTCTACTGGACACTTCATAGATCATAGAATAGATGTTGTCCTTGCTCTGAAAAGCTTACAATCTAAACGAAAACAGGATTAAGAGACGAGAATGCAGGGGTTGCAGTTAAAGATAATTTATTTACTTAAACTGCATGTAACTTGCTTGATTTTTTAAAAAACATTAACTGAAAGCTTAAAAGGGGTTTCTTTTATTGGAAAGGGATAGGCTGATGAGTGTATTTCTAAGGGCAGAAGGCAGGTGGAAGAGCATGGTAAATCAGAGATAAAGAAGCAGGAAGCAGAGGAATGTGCAGGTGGAAAAGGATGAAATGAGGGCAGAGAAGAAAACTAAGAAGTGGAAAGCAATATCATCTTAGAGTAATGGACTGTACTATACTGACATCACAAGGGTCTAGGGGCTTTGAAAGCATACTGGAGTATGTGTGCCTCCACCAGGGGTTTACATGGCTTACTCACCTCAGAATGTGCTTCTCTTCCCCCAAGGTAATGTAGGTATGAGAGAAGAAGCCCAGATAAAAGACTTCATAAGATTTTGTTCATTCTAAAAGTTTAGCTCCCCCCTGGTATTGAAAATAGATTAAATGGCAATTGCTAGAATTACACTTCTTTTTTGAAGATCAGTGCTGCATTGGTTTTCTCCAGTATTCTGGGACCTTTCAACATCCCTGAGTTTTCAAAAGTAACATTAGTCAGTGGTATAGTCAGGAAATGTGGATTCAATTCCTGACCCTGTCACATATTTTAGATTAGTCCCAGTCCAATGCTTTAACCACAAGGCCATCTTTCCCTCCTAATCAATCCTCTTCCTTTTTACTGTAAAGAAAATTGCACAAGCCAATGCTTCCACTTCAAGATACTTTTTTCTCTTAAGGTTTTAAGGTTTTGAACATTAAAAAGGATGGGAAGTTGAAGAATCAAAAGTTACAGAATTGCTGAACGTGTCTACGGAAATATTGTTTCCCAATAGGGATATTTACAGATTAATTGGAATTTGAAAGCATAGGAAGAAAGATTACAATGGAGAAATGGGAACAGCAAATTAACTCCAGTATACAGATGAAAACACACTTAAAATTGAATTCTGATTTCTACATAAGCAGGGTACTAAGAACAGATTAAACTCACAGAACAAATTAATTTTTACAATATGCAAGAAACACCAGCAGAAGTTTAAAAAAATACTTCAACCACAGCTAAGAAAAAGCAGGGAATATAATTCTCAGTTTTGACTTTTATATTCAAGGCTCATGTAGTAACCAATTTAGTTTTCAATTATTTAAATATGTGAGGAGAAGAACCACCACCTTATGTACCCGAAAGCTTTTTGAAGACATGTTAAGAACTGCTGAAAATTGGCAACTGCTTGCATGTCAATGTATCCATACAATCAAATTTCAGCTGGGAAAAACCCTAGCTCATGCCATTGCCAGTACAGGACAGTTTCCTACATATATCTTTTCAAAGGCTCTCTTAATTGAGAGATGAAACAGGAAACATTCTCCAATTGGTTCAGAGAAGTTTCACAAGCTAATTACATATAAAATTTAGGTCCCATGTAGGAATGGATTCTCTAACCAAAAGACAGATCTGTTCAATAACCTTTTAACTAAATTATAGCTGGATACATTATTTTGATCAACTGGAGATGTACTTTTACTGACAGTATGGAAAGTCCCAAGCATATCACATGAAGTAAGTACACAAGTATAGATTAAATGGGAACTGAAGCTGGGTTTATGTTATTGCTGGTTGCCCACAAAGAGAACCTTTTCCACTTACAATCATAACAGGCAAGTGGATTGCTTTAATAGAATCTCTTGGACCTTTTCCAAACAGGACAGTTCTAGATCTGTCAAATCTCTATAGCCCATGCTGTCAAGTGGAGAGAGTCTGTGTCCATATGGGAATTATGGCCTCTCTACTGGGGACAATAGGTCTGAAATTATGTGTTCGGGGTCGCAGGGGACGAGAGAGTAACTCCTTGCAACTCTTGCAGGACATCAGAGAGACACTTATCTTATCCAGGCCTTGGAATCACAATAACCTTGGCTTTCCTCTTGTTTGGTTCTCCTGACTTAGAAAAAGTCCCCATTTAGTCTAGAAGAAACCCACCTACTATGGGCTGATTAGCTGCTCCTATTCTGAAGCAAAACCTCTAACATTTGGTGTTGCGTCTTGTTGCATGTCGGTCCATCTCCACTATACCCATAGGGAGATGTTTGCTACTGAGTTCTTGAGTGACAAATGTTGATTGTGTAAGTCACTGCTCAGCTGATCTGCCAGTAATATAGTCCTTCCCTGCAACCAAATGGATAAATTTGGCTACCAAATGGATAAATTCCGTGTACTGTGTACTATGGACCATCCAACAGAGCTATGGCCTCTCTGCACAGCTAGCTGGAAGGTGCTCCCCTTAATTGTTCACATAAGACATCTGCAATGTTGTCAGTAAGTACTTGATTCACTCTGCCAGTAGAAGATGGAGAAAGGACTTGAGAGCCCAATATAATGGCCTTAATTCTAGATGTTGACATGAAGTTTTTTCTTCCCAGAAATTCACGTGACTAAGTTTACAAATCCTTAGAATAGCTACACCAGCCTAGAATGTAAGTGTCAGAGGTGACTGGGACTGACGGAGCTGGAAAGTTGAAAGCATCTCCTTCCAGGGCAGAGAGATGCTGAATCTACCATGTAAGGGATAGGAATACATCCCTGGCTGTATAAATTTCAAAATATTGCTGTCTGTATTTGGCTAGCATGACATGACATACTAAAGTACATATGCTGCCAAAACCATAAGGCTCATCAGCTTGAGAAAGAACATCTTTAACATGAATTCTCTTGTAGTAATGTTATTGCTGAAAGGATTTTTAAATTTCTTTGTTCTGGAAGAAAAGTACTGCATTTTTAAGAATTCAGAATTGTCTCAATAAAAAAGTATTACTTGGGTTAGACTCTAAGGCATCTAACAAGGAACTAAGGTCTCCCAGGCAGTTGCTCTTTGTTAGCAAACAAATTTATAAGACAACTGCATTTGCTGAACAAAAAATCAGATGTCTTTCAGTGACCAGTGAGTGGACCCTATTGATTGCAACTCAGGTCATCTGCAAATGTGTTGGCTCCCTGCTAGATGAAAGACAATAGGAAAAATATGATCTATTCTTCTCCATTACTAGAGAACATTTACCACTAAGGCCTTGTGAATAACGTAGCTGGAGTCGACGTAGCTTAGGTCGACTTACCGCGGTGTCTACACCACGCTGCGTTGACGGAAGACGCTCTCCCATCGACTTACCTTACTCTTCTCATGCCGGTGGAGTACCGGAGTCGACCAGAGAGTGCTCTGCAGTTGATTTAGTGCGTCTTCACTAGACCTGCTACATCGACCTCTGCTGCATCAATCGCAGCAGCGTTGATCCCCAGTAAGTGTAGACATGGCCTAAGGTACTGCTGCATTGACTCCACTGTGCACCCAGACAGTACTGTCCTGGGAGTGAGGCAGGAGTACAGGTGAACTGTGAGAGCAACGATATTGGACTTGGGAATTCAGAGGGCATATATGTCAGAGGGTCTGCTGGGGTGGGGCAGAGACATACACTGGTCAGTGAGATGTAGTTGAGCAACTACAACTAAGCTAGGTGGTTGAGCCTCTGAAAGGCAGCAATTCCTTAACGGGTCTTTTATCCTCAATGGCCCAACTCCTAGAAAAAGCGGTAAGTCTAAATCTTATTGTACATGCAGGTAATCCAAAGCTACGGTTAAACTTTAAATAAATCTAAGCATGTTACGGTATACAAAAGTACTCCATTATGACACCCAAACATCTATCCCTTTCCCATCATGATACCATGTGGGGGAGGAGGAAGGGGGAAATCTGGAAAAGAATTAGTGTGTTTAAAATTAGTTTAATACTTTCTATTACTTGTAATTACACACTTGATTAAACACAATGTATGGTTGTTGCATGATGATACTTAAGCTTGTTTGGGTGCCCTAAATGAGCAATTCCATACAATAACATATTTGGATTTTTTTTAAGTTTAACATTGATTCTGATTTTCCTAGGTAACTATTCATAGACCTGTATATTTTAAGGTCAGAAAGGACAGCTGTAATCATCTAGTCTGACCTTCTCTAACACAGACCACAGGACTTACCTACATTAACTCCCACTTCAAGATCAATAGCGGTGATTGAACTAGTGCATCCCATTTAGAAAAACGTCCAATCTTGATCTAAACATTTCCAGTGATGGAAAGTCTACCATAACCCTTGATAAACTGCTAATAGTTAATTATCCTCCCTGTTAAAAATCTGTGACTTATTTCTACTCTTAATTTGTCTATCTTCAACTTCTGGCCATTGGATATGGTCATCGCTTCAATCTAGCAGACAAAGGTACCTCTATTATTAAATTTCTGTTCCTCACATAAGTACTGATCAAATCACCCCTTAAACTTGTGTTTGATAGATTGAGGTCCTTGAGTCTCACTACAAAGTACGTTTTTCAATACTTTAATCATTCTTGTGACTCTTCTCTGAACACTCTCCAATTTTGGAACATCTTTTTTGAATTATGGACACCAGAACTGGACACAGAATTCCAGCAGCTGTTAAAAATAGTGTCTAATACAAAGGAAACACCCTCTACTCCTACATGAGATTCTCCTGATTATATATCCAAGACAATGCAATGCTTTTGGCTATAGGGTTGGTCTGGGAGCTCATGTTCAGCTGATAATCCTCCATGACCTCAAAATCATCTCTAGAGCCACTGCTTCCCAGGACAAACGTCAAAATCCTATAAGCAAGGCCTATATTCTTCCCCCTAGATATATGACTTTACACTTGGTTGTATTAAAAACGCATAGTGTTTGCTTGAACCCATTTTACCAAGAAATCTAGATTATTCGGTATCAGTGAACTGCCCTTTTCATTATTAACCACGCCTCTTATTTTTGTGTCATCTGCAAACTCTAATGGATTTTATTTTTCTTCCATGTCATTGATAAAATGTTAAATAGCATAGGACCAAGAACCAATCCCTGTGGGACCCGACTAAAAGCACTCTCAGTGATTCCCTGCTTACAATTACCTTGAGACTTATCAGTTTTCAATACATTTAATGTGTGCCATGTTGATTTGTATCATTTTAGTTTCTTAATCAAAATGTTGTGCAGTACTATTACTTTTATCACCCAGACTTGTAATCTCATGAAAAAAAATATATATATATATATATCAAGTTAGTTTAACAGGTTCTATTTCCCATAAACCCATGTTGATTGACATTAATTATATTACTCTCAATTCGTCATTAAACTGAGGCCCGTATCAGCCATTCTAATATTTTGTCGAGTTTCAGTATCAGGCTAGCAGGCCTATAATTACCCAGGTCACCTCATTTACACTTTTAAATATTGGCACAACAAAAGCATTCTTCCACTCCTTTGAAATTTCCAGGTTTCCAAGACTTATTGAAAATAAACATTTATGGGTCAGAGACCTCCTCAGCCAGCTCTTTTAAAACTCTCTGATGCAAGTTATCTGGATTTGCGGATTTTAAAATGTCTAGCTTTAGTAGCTGCTGTTGAGCATCCTCTTGGGTTAGAATGAAAAGTATTATATTCATATCACATGGTGATCAGTAACGACTTGGGTCTTCTCCAAACACTTTAAAGAGATTGCTGCACACTTCTGCTTTTTTGCATTGACAATTCTACTGTTTCCATCTAGTATTAGGATTCCATCTGTTCCTAATATACTTAAATTCCTTACCATCTTTAACTTGGCAGGCCATAGATTTCTCAAAGTGTCCATTTGCTTCCCTTATTGATTTTGGACAATTCCCAACTTCTAATTTAGTTATTTCTCTCACCTACCCCATTTCCCCCTGTGTTATACATTGTGTGTTTAATGGCTGCTTTCACCTAAACCAGGCTGTCTTAACCAGTGTAATGTTTTCTCTCAATTTTGGGACAGACTTTTTGGGCATCTAGTCAAAATGTTTTTTTTACAGTTCCCAACTGTTCACATTTTTGTGTTTAAATTCTTTCTCCCAGCTCCTTCGGCTCAGAATTGTTTTCAACTTTGTGAAATTGGCCCTTTTAAATCACCAAGTACATATTACCAGTTTGGACTTTACATGTGGTATGTGTAAACAGAGCAACTGAGTCACGATCACATGCACCTAAGCAACTACTGATTTTTAATTCAGAGATCAATTCCTCTATATCTGTCAATATCAGGTCTAATGCATGTTGGATGCAACAGTTTTGAATTAGGAAATTGACATTTAAGTTTTGGAAACTCCAAGGACATATTAGTACTGGTAGAATGAGACCTTCAGCATATGTCACTCAAATTGAAGTTCCAGATGATTACGTACCTCTTTTCTTAAAAATAGAAAGAGATAAATACAATAAATATGAAGTGCAAGAATCAAAACTAATTTAAAATAGAAAAAGGTAGGGTATGGAATAGAAACAGCAAAACTTAAAGATAACAAAATACAGGGATGCAAGAGTTAAAAGAAGCAGTAGTTGAAATTAACGGAAAAGTTTAATGTTAATTATAAACTAATACTGTAGAAAAACGCTAAGGTTAAGTAGGACATTTACAGGATAAAAGTAAGTTTTGGGATAATTTAAAAAAATAGACAAAGGTTTAAAACTTTTTTTTTTTTTTTAAAACAGAACTATCACAACATATGCCCCCCATTACTCTGATTACCTTGTATCCTATTATTCCTTCCACTTTTGTGTTTTTGTTTTTAGATTAGCAAGCTGTCTGGGGCAGCCACTGTCTGTTACTATGAGTTTATACAGAAACTTCCACAATGGGACCCTATTCCTGATTGGGGAGCTTGGCCATTATCAGAATATAATGAAAATAATAAAAAGCAATTCCTGTGCTGAGGGAGCATAAGGCGTACTGGAAGCTAGCAGCAACAACTGTAATTTTCTTCTAGATGGGGGCAGGACCAGGTCTCTCTACAGCTCTACACAGAAACTACATGCTGCATTTTGTAAAAGGATGCAACACATAGTTTCTCCGGGCTGCACTCCTCCAAAATATCCAGAGGCACAATAACTCTAGGAGATTCTTATGGATGTATCCCTTCAAAAATAGGTATACAGCAGGGCTGTGCTTTGCCTCACCCCATATATGCAATTCTAATACTTTTTAAAAACAAGGTAAGTTATATATATCCTTATGAAAGGGAAAGTCTCACCTGAACCAGGTATTTTTGGCTTCCATACATGACATACTGAGGTGCAAGACTGTAGATCATATAACTTGTGTGAAGAACAATCAACAGAAGTATCATACAGAGAAATAAGAGTGCTTGAGGCCGAGTTTTACCTCTTCTAATCTTATACAACTAAAAACAAACAAACAGAAAATGTACAAAATTAGATCATAATTGTTTCTCTAGGTTATCAAGCTTGATATCTGTTAAAGGACATTGCTTTTAAACTAGATATTTATATTATTTTCCCAATTACATCCTAAAACTCTGTTAAGAGACAGTAGAAATATATTCAAAAAACCTCTCCCCCAAGGCATAGCTGTAAATGTAAAAGCCTCTACATATGCCATACAAATGATCAAGCTTCAGAGAAGGAATTAAGGGCTGTTTGCAGATCCTCCTTTGAGTGTGCAACTACAGCACAATCATCTGGATACTGGCGATCAGTTATTGTTGCCGATATTACATTAGTTCTGGCACAGAGATGGGAAAGGTTAAAGAGGTTGCTGTCAATCTGATATTCTTTTACACCAGTTCAGATGACAGAGGTAGAGCCACTGCACAGGATGGAGGCAGTCATCTGGTCATAGAGGAGTCTTAGAATAGTGATAAATTTGCTTGGGCAGCCAAATTTGACACGATTTTCAACAGAGCCTCACAGTTGACAGAGTCAAAGGCTTTGGTCATATTGATAAAGGCCAGATACAGCTACTGGTATTGTTCTTGACACTTTTCCTGGATCTGCCTGGCTGCGAAAATCATGTTGCTTGTGCCTCGTGATGGTCTGAAGCCACACTGGGACTCTGGAAGTACTTCCTCTGCAAGAGGGAGCAGGCGATTCAGTCAGATTCTAGCAAGAATCTTCCCAATGATGGAGGAGGACGACGACAATGCCTCGATAGTTGTCATAACTGGCCTTGTCTTCCTTTTTGAAAATGGGGACGATGTTAGCATTATATAAGCCAGCAAGGATTTCTTCTATACGCCAGATTTTGAGGAGCAGCAAGTGAAGCTTGTTAGCCAGTGCTTCTCCCCCAACTTTCAGTATTTCAGCTGGTATTCCATCAGGACCTGGTGCTTTATTGTTCATTTGTTTAATTGCTTTGCAGACTTCCTCAGGTGTTGATGGGTTGGTAAGAGATTCCCAGATTGGGTGCCGAGAGATGGAGTTGATGGTGTCAGTCACAGTCGATTCTTGATTTAGAAGCTTTTGGTAGTGTTCCTTCCAGAGATCTTTGATGGCTTTGTTATCTTTAAGAAGAGTACTACCATCTTCAGATCTCAGAGGTGAGAGGCCACATGAGCTTGGTCCGTACAGGGTCTTAGTCTCTTAAAAAAACCTCTGCATATCATGTCAGTCATTGAATGTTTGGATTTCTTTTGCTTTGTCCTCCCACCATTTGTTTTTGATTTCTCGGATCCTCCTTTGAACTTCAGCTTTGAGCAGATGGAAAAGAGCTCTGCTTCCGACTGGATAGTGGTTGGTTTTGCCAGTCGCAGAAAGCTTTTCTCTTCTGTTCCAAAAGGGCTGTAATCTCAATGTTACTGTTGTCAAACCAGTCCTGATGGCAGCAAACAGCCCTTAATTGCTTCTATGAAGCTTACAAAAGCCTAGGGCTACTCTGAACATTGGCAAAACAAAAGTTCTCCACCAGCCAGTCCCTGGTCAATCATCAGACTCAGCAAGGAAGATCTACATCGACAAAGAAGAACTGGAAAATGTAGAATACTTTGCCTATCTTGGCAGCCATCTCTTGCAGAGGACAGACGTCGAGATTCAGCACAGAATTCAATGTGCCAGCCTTGCCTTTGGCCGACTGTCTTGCCGGGTGTTCAACAATCACAACATCGGAACAGATATTAGACTCTAAATTTATAAAGTGGTGGTAATCCCAACTCTCCTCCATGGCTGAGAGACTTGGGTGACCTATTGAAAACACACGAGAAACCTGGAATGCCAGCACGAGCACTTTCTTTGGAAGATCCTCAACGTAAAATGGGAGGATTGTCGAATCAATGTCAGTGTCCTCACAGAGGCCAACATCTTCAGTGTTGATGCCCTCATTATCCAGCATCAGCTGAGGTGGAGTGGGCACTGTATGCACATGCCTGATGAACGCTTACCAAAACAACTGCTGTATGCCCAACTCACCAAAGGAAGGAAGGAAACGGAGACGCCAAAAGGAACATTTAAAAGACATCCTCAAGATAAACATCAAGAGATATGGCATCAACACCACACACTGGGAGACAGCAGCCCAGGATGGGGTAGCTGGCCAAGACTGGTCAGAGAGGAAACGTCCACTTTTGAGGAAAATCGCCTTGACCTGGTCGCAGAAAAACATCAGAAAAGAAAGGAAAGACAACTGTCACGCAGCAATCGCGGGCCGACTGTCTTCCAACACCACCTGCAATGTCTGCCAATGAGCCTGTGGCTCAAGGATGGGACTCATTCACCAAAGGACCCAAGAAAAATAAAAGCTGTGAAAGATCATCCTCGACCTCTAGGGATCACTGATGACAAATGATCAAACCTTATCAACAATATTTTACAAAATATCCTATGATCTAAGATCTCTAACTTCAAAATTGGCAGTTTTCCTTATTCCAAATGACTGTCACCACCTCATTTTATTTTCAGTGGGGCTGATGCCAAACTATCCTCATTCAAGATGGTTGCCTACAGGCTTTGCATGTGACAATGGGACTGCCCTTAGTAAAGATGGCGACTCCCTGGACTTTAAGGTTAGCGACTTGGACAGGAAACTGAGGAGACAGGGGAATGTGGAGTTCAGGAGAAGATCTGGGACTGGAAACAAGAGACCATGGGGGAGGAGACAGAGTGGACAAGTGACAATGTGGGGCGGGAAAACAGATAGGATAATGGTAAGGGAGAAGGAGAATAGACAGGTAGCTCCTCCACTCTCAAGGTTAAGAAAGGGTAAGGGGAGTCTTCTTCTGAGCAACCAATGGGGAGTCTACATTGTTGCAGGCACATTTAAAGGTTGAATTTTGACCCTGAAATGTGCTCACACTTTGTGGGCAGGTGACTTCCACCCTCAAGGCTCAAAAACCAGAAACCAAAAAACCCACACACATTCAGTCTTCCACACCCCTACACTCCACCTCACACATAAATCATGATATTTGAACACTTAGGGGTGGCAATACATTGAACATGCTGCTTCCACAAAGCTCCCAGACTCTGCTGGCTTAATACCTGCAATTTTGTCTCGAGTTGAAACCGCTTGCCCTCCTTTAACTAGGCCATCAGGCCAAAATACAATCTAGCTTTTCAAAACATGGTAGATGCCCTTAAGACTCTTGCTAAAACAATTGATTGTAATATTGTTTAAAAAGAATAATTGCTTCACACCATTTTAGCTTTTAGAACATGGTAGAGAGAAAATTCTGCAAAGTCCTTTTGTATCTGTTACGTACATTTTAAATATTTTTATATAGTAATTTATAAATGTTACATTTTAGTAAATAAGTAATATTTACCCTTATCCAAAAGAACCATATACCCATGTTTCGAATCCCTGCCATTGAAGTGAAGATAAAATACATAATAATTGTTGTAATGAGGATATAATCAAGTGGAAAAACCTAAAAGAGAAGAATATTAATATATAAAAGCTGAAAAAAAGAAATGAAAACAGTAACATAACAAATACTCAACACCAATCAAATTACAGGAGTGGCTGATCATCTAATTTTGAAAACAGGTTTCTTACCACAATGGGATGCTGTATATATCAGAACTTCTCATTGTGATAGTGTTTGAGGTGGTAAGGGAAGGAAAACTGCCCGATTTAAAACTTAAGACAGTTAATTACAAATAGAGCTGAAACAATTAACAGTTCAATTTAGAAAAGAGATTGAATAGCTTTGTGAATTTTTTCCAAACTTTACCTCAATTTGAATTAGATATTGCTTCATTCAAATTTCAAAAGTTGGGCTAGACTATTTAGTTCCACTGACAGCAAAGTCCAGAGTTAGAATAGCGCAAGAGGCCTCTTTCAAATGAGTTAATATAAGAGATATAACATTCATATATCATTTCTAGAGTAAAGTCAAAATTAATATAAACCTTTTATTAAAAAAAAACTACACAAAAACTTATGTCACTTACATAGCATTTTTAAAGAAAGTACTGTTGTGAGCATTACTTAGAAAGGATCTGACAGTTAATTCTAGTTAATAAATAATATTCATAGGGAAAACATGGCATGCCCCCAGCATCTTAATGTTGATGTAGTATTTAGTTCTTTCTCCAGTCATCCTCTTGGTACAGTTTATCCTGTGACTTTAGTATTTCCAAAATTTGTCCTTTTCCTTGTTTCCTTACTGTTAACACTTTGTTTATATCCTGGTTATCTATTGCCTTAATTACTATGATCTCTTATGTGGCTTAAGTGCTCTTTTCACAGAAGTCTGCCCTCAATGTTTAGTCCTAACTGTCTTTTTTTTTAAAAAAGGAGAAAATAGACAATATAATGGACTCTAAAAGTGACTATTAAAAATGTAAAATAACTCCATACAAGTATTTGTATGATGCATGTTTATCATCTTCATACTAGAGGGGATGGATCCTCAAGTACTCCAACCCAACATACACCTTGGTTAGGTAGCCACAATCTTCTGGGCCTGGTTTTCAGAACATGGATTGATGCCCAACACTCTGGAAATTAGCTTCCTTTAAAGTTGCCCTAGTTTGGGTATGCAGAACAGAGGCAACCCAAATCACTAGTGACAATCTTCTTTGCCTCTGTTGAAGTCCAGGGCACAACCACCCCAAGTGGGATAATCTTTTCCATCCCATCACCACTGAGTTCAGCAGCCACAAGTTATTCACAAGTCACATGCTATGTTGACTCTCAGGGTATGTCTACACTACGAGGGTAATTCGATTTTACTTAAATCGAATATGTGGAATCGATATTGCAAAGTCGAACGTGTGTGTCCACACTAAGGACACACTAAGGACAGTAATTCGACTTTGTGAGTCCACACTAACGGGGCGAGCGTCGATATTGGAAGCGGTGCACTGTGGGCAGCTATCCCACAGTTCCCGCAGTCCCCGCTGCCCATCGGAATTCTGGGTCGAGCCGCCAATGCCTTCTGGGTAAAAAAAATTTGTCGTCATCCGTCCGTCACTAACGCCCTCCCTCCCTCCATGAAAGCGCCGGCGGGAAATCAGTTCGCGCACTTTTCTGGTCAGTGACAGCGCGGACGCCACAGCACTGCGATCATGGATCACGCTGCGACCATCGCTGCACTTGTGGCCGTTCTCAACACCTCGCAGCTTATCATACACCTTTCCCTGAGGCAGATGCAGAGAAATCGGGCGAGGAGGCTACGGCACCGCCGTGAGAGCCTGAAGTCGGAGAGTGGCACAGAGCTGTCAGAAACCACGAGCCCCAGCGCCCAGGACATCACGGTGGCAATGGGGCATGTGGATTTTGTTGAACGGCGATTCTGGGCCCGGGAAACAAGCACGGACTGGTGGGACCGTATAGTGCTTCAGGTCTGGGATGAATCCCAGTGGCTGCGAAACTTTCGCATGCGGAAGGGGACTTTCCTCGAACTTTGTGAGTTGCTGTCCCCTGCCCTGAAGCGCAAGGACACCCGCATGCGAGCAGCCCTCACTGTCCAGAAGCGAGTGGCCATAGCCCTCTGGAAGCTTGCAACGCCGGACAGCTACCGGTCAGTCGCGAACCACTTTGGTGTGGGCAAATCTACCGTGGGGGTTGTTGTCATGCAAGTAGCCAAGGCAATCGTCAAGGTACTGCTCCCAAAGGTAGTGACCCTGGGAAACGCGCAGGTCATCATAGATGGCTTTGCCGCGATGGGATTCCCAAACTGCGGTGGGGCTATAGATGGGACTCACATCCCTATCCTGGGACCGGACCACCAGGCCAGCCAGTACATCAATAGAAAGGGCTACTTTTCAATGGTGCTGCAAGCACTGGTGGACCATCGGGGACGGTTTACAAACATCTACGTCGGATGGCCGGGCAAGGTTCATGACGCTCGCGTGTTCAGGAACTCTGGTCTGTTTAGACGGCTGCAGGAAGGTATTTACTTCCCAGACCACAAAATAACTCTTGGGGATGTGGAGATGCCTACAGTCATCCTCGGGGACCCAGCCTACCCGCTAATGCCCTGGCTCATGAAGCCCTATACTGGCGCCCTGGACACAGAAAAAGAACTGTTCAACTACCGTCTGAGCAAGTGCAGAATGGTGGTGGAGTGTGCTTTTGGCCGTCTCAAAGGGAGATGGAGAAGCTTACTCACTCGCTGTGATCTCAGTGAAACCAATATCCCCATCGTTATTGCAGCTTGCTGTGTGCTCCACAATCTGTGTGAGAGCAAGGGGGAGACCTTTATGGCGGGGTGGGAGCTAGAGGCAAATAGCCTGGCTGCTGATTACGTCCAGCCAGACAGCCGGGCCATTAGAAGATCCCAGCGGGACGCCCTGTGCATCCGGGAGGCTTTGAAAGCTAGGTTCCTGAGTGAGCAGGGCAACCAGTGACTTTTCAGTTTGTGGACAGAAAAGCTGAACCTGCCCCCGTTTCTTTACCCAGTCCATTTTGACTATCCTCTCCAGTTACATACAACCTTCACCCCCTTCCCCTTCCCAAAAAATAAAATCATTTCGATTTTTTAATGAACACCGTTGTCTGTATTGCTGTTTTCGCGGGAATATTTTAAACCGGGGACGCAGACTGTGGCGGGGGGCGGGTTTAGTGTTCTGATGCAAATGATACTTCTAAACTCCCGGAATGACAGGCTCCGCACTGGTGGACTGGTTATTTCAATGGAGCCTGCCAGCACTCCTGGGGGGGACTGTGTGTATGTGTCGGCTATGTGACTTTCTGGCAGGGGGGGGTAGGGTTACAGATCCCCTGCTGCGTGGATCTGTGAGCCAGGATAAGGACCGCTGCATAAGATCTGTAACTGCCCTCCCCCGCCACAAAGTCACAGAGCAACCCCCCCCCCCCAAAACATGAAAAGCACCTCCCAGACTGACCAGGGTAACCAGTGACTGCACTGGTTATGTGTCCTGATGCTGGACCTGACACCGCCTCTGTACCCTGCTAAAGGTGACTGTCCTGTCCAATTACCAAGCCCCTTCCCCCCCTCCAGACAGACTCTCCCTCAAAAGAACCTGACTGAAACAGTAATGAACAGAAACAAACATTTTATTGCGAACCAGACATGAAACGTGGGGGGTGAAACTTGGACGGGGGCTTGTGTGAGGTGGGTAGGAAAGGACTTATGAAATTTTGGGGAATGTCAGCCTTCTACTGCTAGAGCAGTCTGCAGGGGTTGATTGAAAGTTTTAACGGCCCTTGCCGCCCCTCCTTCTTTGGACTTTGGGTGAGGGTGGTGTGGGACTTGGTGGCGGGTGAGGGCGGTTACAGATAGACTGCAGCGGGGCTCTGTCCTCCTGCCTCCGGTCTTGCAGAACATCCACAAGGCGCCGGAGCGTGTCCGTTTGCTCCCTCATTAGTCCAAGCAGCTTTTCAGTAGCCTGTTGGTCCTCCTGACGCCACCTCTCCTCCCGTTCCATGACTGCTCGGTGCATTTGTGACAAGTTCTCCCTCCACTGTGTCTGCTGGGCTGCCTGGGCTCGGGAGCAGCCCATTAGTTCTGTGAACATGTCTTCACGCGTCTTCTTCTTCCTCCGCCTAATCTGCGCTAGCCTCTGGGAGTGTGCTGACAGGCTGGGTTGGGAGACAGTCGCAGATGTGTCTGTGTGAATTTTAAAAAGGGAGTGAATTCCTGAGACAGATAAATGAAATTGTATACAAAGAACCTAGTCTTTCTCTGTGAACAAGACCATGCACTGAACCTCTCACATGCGCACTCAGGACAAGGTCGAATTTTCGGCCGTCGCCTTCAGTGCCTGTGGACTTGCGGAGGTCTTGGACTGTTCAGAGAACTGTGGCTGGAGACCTGAACTTCTGGAGCGGGCAATAATGGTAAGCCGCAGACTTGTGGCTGCTTAAAACTCCAGCAGTAGCACTGGCCTCCTTTCACATTGAAAGCAATGCCAGTCTCTGCTGCCAGCAATCAGGACAGCATCAACTCTGCCCCTGTCCCACCCCCTCGCGGCTGTCCCAGGGAAAGATCCCTGTATGCTGCCCCTCTCCCTCCACCGCGTGGCTGTAAAAGTCCCAATACTAACAGTCCCCTCCCTAATTCAAAGCAGGGCGTCATGAGCGACATCACCCTCCTGAGGATCCCGGACACCCAGAGAGAACGCATGCTGCGGGAAAGCATGCAAAAACCGGGGCCGTATGCCGCCATGCTATGTCGGGCCATGATCCCCGAGTACCTGATTGTGGCATGGAGGGGACATGTCTGCTACCACGGAGGGCCCACTAAGATCGCCCTACCCCGGAACCTGATCAACAGGCTTGAGCTCTACCTCCACGAGACCTACGAGGAGTTCTCCTACGAGGATTTCTCGTCGATCCCCGGCCACATTGACCGGATTTTCGCGTAGGTGCACTGAGACTTTGGAGTGGAGCGTCTTGGGCCTGGGAATCATGTAGTAACGGACATTGTGAAATTTTTTTAAAATACTTGGGACTAAA